ATTTTTATTAATTTTTATAATTAATTTAATTCGCCACAAATTTTTTTCGAAGTAATTTTTGATTTACAGTTATAAAAAAATGTTTAGTTATTCACACAAATTTTCATTAAATCAAAATATTTATTTTTACTGCGAAGTGAATTGGAATTTATGCAGACATTTTGATACATTTGTGTTACTTTTTTGCTTTTGCACTGTCAATGCCACACATTGGCGTGTTGCAACATATAAAAATGTTGTGTTTTAGCTAAAAAAAATAGCAGCATTTAAACTAGCATTTTCATAATAATAAATCTGCGGCTAACTGTCTATTAACTTTAGCAATTAATTGCCTATGATTTGAAAATATTATTAAGAAAAATAGCAAAAATTTAAGTTGCAAGCACGCTTGCGTTAGATGCCGCAACGTTTGTTGCAACATTTTTAATACAAATATGTATATTTTTGTGACTTTTAATTTTTTAAATTGACTTTTTATTATATATTTTTTTATTAATTTATTATTTCATGCAATTTCTGTTTTTTTTTTATTGCTTTTTCGTTTAATATATGCGAAAAAAAGAAATTACTCGTTACATTGGCACAAATTGCATATTTTTTGGCGCAATCACAAATGAATTTTTTGCATTTTACGCATTTAAACGCTACAAGGTATTGAAAAAATAATAATAATCAAATAAAAAATACACTTTAGTAAGCGTACGCATAAAATTTCCGTTTTATTGGAAAAAGTTTTTGAAATGCACTTTATAACTGTATGTACCACCAACTAAATATATGTACAAATATATATATTTCACACTTTGTATTTTTGTGGTTATTGCTATAGCACTAAGTTACATATTATTGCAAAAAACAATGCAATAATTATAAATATATATTTATGAATTTGTAATTCGATTTGACACGCAACTCAAAAAACAACTTTTTTACTGCTTTCACTTCAACAAACCCAAAAATTATGTTAACTGTACACTTTTCTATTAATTGCATACAAATAGTCTCTATGTTTGTGTACATTTTGTAGATTTTGCACATACTACCCGCTTCTTTTTAATTTTTTTGTCGCTCTATTTAATTGCAATTGCCATTTTATCTATTTGCTACATGCACTTGTCTCGCTTTTATCATTTCATAAATATTTATATATATATGTACATTTTATATTTAAAACGCTGTTAATTGCAAGTCATTAATGTTCATACCCAAATACATGTGCATTGCTATACATTACTGCCCTTACGCCACTCCACCATTGTCATTTCATAAAAAGAGCCAAAAGCTCGTTGGATTTAATTACAAATTCTGTGCATGTATTTTTTTTTTTATTTGCTGTAGTTAGTTGTCTATAAATATTTGTATATAAAAATATTGTTTGATTTTTATTACTTCGAGCTTTTAAGACCCTGCTTAAAAGCTTTTTTTAATCGAATTGCAAAAAAGAATAATTGTTATATGTGATTATTTTACAACTAAAGTTCTAATGAGTTAATGGTGTTTGGAAAGAAATTCATAAAAAATTACCAGTGTCGAAGAATAAATGAAAATTATTTGAAAAAAAAAAACACAAAAACCTCAAAAATGTAAAAAAATATACTATTAAAGTACAACACCCTGTAGAAATATATAGAAAGTGAAAGGTATTTTCTTGAAATATATCTCAAAAATCACTTATTGGATTCCAATAAAATTGTCACTGTCAAAACTGCTGTTTGAATCGCTAGACGACGCTATTCTCGGACAACCTTCGCATCTAAGGTTGAGGGCAACTGGTTGATAGGGGTATATTTTGCTGCGTAGGGTTTAAATTCTGAAGGTTCTAGGTTTTGCTTGACAAAAGCTCATGATAATATAGAGACCACTGAACCAGAGTCCACGAGGAATCTCTGGTGTAAAGGTCTGTTATTTACATGCAGGCGATACTCCATGCTATGACTGATGACGACAGCCTCGCTAGTTCCCTAGTTCGTAACAGGCTTTTAGGTGCAGAGTTGAACACATCGATGAGCTCTCTCACCGACTCTGCTTTCATAAAACATAGACCGGGTGGCCCTAGAGTTCGAGGTGGTAATCGTGGACATCTCTCGCTGCTTTTTCTGGTCAGCTCGGAGAGTGCGGCTGTCAGAGTCTCAATGGCCTTCTCTAGGTTGCGCAGCCTGTGCTCGTCTGACGAGCTAGTGTCGTTACTGCGGTGTAACTGGGAATGAAAACCACTGTTTGTGACGGCCTGGCTATAAGCTTAAAAAGCCTGGATTCTAGTTTACATGATTGAGAGCTACTGTGATTTTCTATTCTGAACGGCCTTAAGGATTCTGCACACAATAACACGCAGCAGCGCCAACCATTTACTGCGAAGAAGCTCTTCTGATGCTCTGTTGCCAACCAGTGTTCTCATCTCTTTGAGAAGCTGACTACGCTTCCAATTCCCAAGTTCAAGCTCTGTCAACAGCTTGTGCAACTAGCGATCACGTAAATCAGTGAAAC